ATGCGGCTCCAACAGTACGTTTTCCTGTATGAAAACACTACCTCATACCATCGACAACGCTTTCCTTTTTCTCTGCTGTTCTCAAGCCTCACCTAAACAAGAAACACTCCTTCCTTTAACAGATAACTCATTTTTCCTCTAGAAGAAAATATCAAATCTCCAACTTGAAAACCTGAAGGGTAACAAAGTACCATAGGGTTCATGATGGTTTTTTTCTCTCTCAGCTGTCTCGTATCCAGAGAGAGACAGTAATTATTGTTTTACCTCTCACCTAAGACATAGATAAAAACAGGCTGGAGTTGCATTGCTGTTTTGCACTACAACTGCTTGTTTGCAAGGCTGTCTGAACTACTTGAATGCTTTTTGACAGTAATGCTCCCCAGGTGCAAACAGACCTGTTTCTCATGCTTAGAAGGAGGCCACTTAGATGTCCCCAGAGCTTGGGTCTATGCCATACCAGCAGTGTTCAAACAGTGTATTTGCAGTGGTCCCTTGCAATCTGTTCCTCTTTCCATCAGCACAGTGCTGAGTGACATTCCCTTTCCACCTGCGTGGACTGCACAGGTACATGACTAGATTTCAGAAGTACAAGTGTAACAGAACTGAAACAACAGTAATGACATTAATTGCTTTTAATCTCTGCTCTTTTTAGCAACTGTCTTTATCCCAACCACCTAAGAATCTCCTGTTACAACCAAGCAATTATCTACTGTCTTCTCCTGATGAACTTGTTGCTTTCTCTACCTTCTACTTTTCAGCCTTCAAGGAAACAATTCCACCCTACAGGCATCTCAATGTAGCTTTTTGGTCCAGTTTTTCAGCATTTTGTCTGAGTGTCTGAATCAAGACCTCCTAAACCTCCCAAATGCTGTTTAGGCAAAGGAAGATATTTTTTTTTCCATTCACAAAGTCATCAGCTTGGTTCAGGTTTTACCTCACTCACCTTTTGTAGCTCACTCCGAAACAGCTTGCAGTTATAAGTTCAACAATACTACTATGCTCAACCCTTGCACTGTTTCTGACTTGGGCAGGCTGTCACCCAGATGTTCAGCAAACCACATCTGGGTTGCTAATTCAATACTTCTCTATAGCTCCAGCATTACTTTGCCATGTGGTACTTGTCTGAGCTGAGTACAGCTCTACAGACTTGGCTCAGGTGTAGCAAAGTTTAAATAACTCTGCATCAGACTTAGACTTGGGAGACCGATGTCAGCTGGAAGCCATGGCATTCATACCACAGCTGCATCAATTCCTAGTCAGGCAAAGAGGATAATAGAACACAGACTTGGGGACTTTGCAAACACACTATTCCACAGTGAATTACAGTCTAGTCATGCCTAACGTAAATAAAGGCCAGTCCATGCTGTGTCACACATGAGACATAGCAGAAGAGAAATGCAGAGGAAAGCAGACAACACTGAAAGGATCACAAGCACAGGGAGATGAAGAAACTCCCAAAGTAATGTCTGCATTTTTTATCCTGCAGAGACTGGAGTCACAGACAAGCTGGAGAACCACTGAGATGAAGACATTGACGCAGTAAGCCCATCCCAAATTTTCAGTGCTGAGAGAAGCACAAGATGGATGTAAAATAGATGGAAGGAATACTCAGCCAGATCCATGGTGGGAAAAATGGCAAAGTTGCAGAGTTGGAGTGTGAGGACCAGGAAACCCCCTACATCTTGAAACAGAGTAATTGTCTACAGGGCAGACTAGCATGTTCTTCTTCTGACAGCAGAAGTGGTAGACTGATATAACCCCAAACACACAAAGCCATGATGAGCAGAAAGGGGGAATGGAACCTAAAACAGTTTGGACTAGTCTGTAACTGGAAGTTGCATTCAGTAGATACTTGAAATGATCGTGTATGTCTTGACAGTCAAGAGGAAGTATTGGTTTCATTACAGAATGTGTTACATCAGTTGAGTTCGGGAATGTGCTGGAAATTCCCAGTAGGATGAATGAGAATAATATCATGCAAAACAATATCACGGCACACGGCATTTGCAGGGGAAGAGGGTAGCAGACGAAAGAGGTGCTGGAGCTGAAAAAAAGCTGCAAGGAATGTGACATCTGCTAAATCAGATAAAGATACTGCTATGTGTCTAAAGGAAGGACGTGCCGTACAAGCACAGTATTCCAGACTGACACCCATGATGTTCATGGAAGAAGGAGGCATATGAAGTGGGACAGCAAATGCTAATCATAATACAGGAAAAAGGACAGCAAGGGCAGACTTATCTGGGACATCAACAAGCAGTACGGGTTGTTAGTATTGTGAGTGTGACCAGGGAAAAAAGGCTTAGATGAAAAAGTACCCCAGTTAGAGGATGTGCCACTGCTGTCTGCTTTCACAACAGGAGCATGAAAAGTCAGCACCAGCCTAGGAAATGGAGGAGTGAGGCAGGCCAGGAGTTGGAGGACAGGATGATTCTGGGGAGAAAGGACCATTTTCTCTCTGCTTTAGAAACTGGACTGTTGACTGAAGGTTCTGGGAAAAATAGCTGTGCACAAAGAATGTATAATTTGGGATAATACAGTTTCATGTAGAAGGTATCTAGGCTGGGAGGGCTGGAGAGAGACTTCTGAAAGGGTATACAAGCCTGCTTTATCAACCTCAGGCCAGGAAAGATACCAACCATATAATTCAAGACTTGTACTTGATTCCTCTGAGGTTTAATTGCACACTTGTAAATAAAACATTAATGAAATGTCTCCTTTAAAGCTTGATATATATTAAAATATTAAGAGGAAGACAAGAACTGTGAAAACCACATTGCCCTACTGGTCTGTTCAGGCTTCAGCTCTCTTGAGGGAGAGACTGAAGAAACAATTTATACTTTATGCAAAGCCCTAGGACCATGAACACTTCTTTCCAGGCAGAATAAAAAGGATAAAGTGTGAAATATCTGGGGCACGCTGCAGCAGGATTTCTGTTGATGTCAGGTGTATTTTCCTAGCATAACTGACCACCTGCTGCTTCAGAGACGCTGACTCCCAAATAAATGTTTTAACCTCCATTTTGCAGATCTACCAAAAAAACCCAAACCAACCCAGCAAACAAAAACAATAAATTGCATGCCTGCTTGTGTGAAAAAGAGGAAGGGTGCCCCAGTGTAATTGCACAACTTATTCAGGATGCTTAAGCATCCCACCACAAAGCATCCCTTTGAAGACAGTTACCAGGCTATTTCTGCAGTCTGAGGAGATATGCAGGCCCTTTGGATGATTCATCTCATGTGATGGCACACAACAGAAATAGCTGGATGAAATCCACTTTGAAAATGCCTCCCCCAGCAGTTCATTTCCCGACCGACCTTTAAATAACAGGTACATCTACCAGTGGGCTCTTGCCACACAGGGATGGAGACTACCCACTTAAAACCTCTTCACAGCTTTCCCAATTTACAGCCATACTCCCATCTTTGCACAAAAAGAGCCAAAACTGAAAAAGGAGACACCTTTTTTCTGCCAACAAGCCCAAGATGCTGTTTGCTAACGCATTTCCCTTTGTAGCCTCAGCTGCACTGGAGAACAAGGAAAATTCTGTGCTAACTAAAGGAGTGAACAGTTCATGCATAACACATTCTGGACTGCTGCTGAGATGGATGGCAGAGGGAAATGGTGGTTCTCTCTGTAACCTTTGTACAACTGATCCCCCACTAAATTAGCCCCAGAGAAGCCTGCTTGTAGCAAAGATGGAGAGAGACCCAAGGGCAATGCACACAGTTAAATCAATATGAACAGAGGCATTTGCAGTAATGGTATCTTATGGCTATCTTTACCAACAAATCTCCAGTGCAAAATGAAACTACACTAGCAAAACACCTTTGTAGTGGGTCGAGAGATGAAAGTACACCTCCATGTTAACTATGCTGCCTTCCCCTTTGCACTGATTTGGGAATACATATGTAATGTTAAGAAAAATTAATCATATACACTTAGCACCCCTGCACTCTGCAGTCAACACTACTAACAGCACAGTCAAAATTCTCAAAGCCTATCCTTACACTGTTACACAGGCAAAACTCATCCTAAAATCAGTGGGAAAAATGGGTGAATAAAGACTGGAAAAGAACCAAAGTCCCAATTCAACTCTCAGCTGATCTGTTCAGTGTGACCATCAGCAATGGAAACACTTTCCATTTTCACCATCATGATTACAGTTGGGCTCAATAATCCAAATTTTGCCTCTTCTTAATTCCAGCATAAACTGGGTAGAGATGCAAAACAGAATTTAGCATCTAATTTCTCAAGGTTAAGCCATAAGGTAATCGTAGCAAACTGGAAACAAATCAGTCTCTGAGGTTTTTTTCCCTCCTCTTACTGCCATTTTCCCATAACTGACTGAAAGGACTTTTTTTTTAACAAAAGTTCTTATTTCCTCTAGTGCCAGGCACCACATTGTGTTTGGCATGCCTCTATTTCTGTACGTCTCTGATAGCCTTTCCTCCACAGATGCCTATATAAAGTTCACATTAGTCAGTTCTTCAAACTAGGTATGAACATCAATGCAGACGATTTTGTTCCAAGCACACAGCTTTTCTTACGTATGTGCTCTGCTGTTCATTTTTGCTTCCACAGAATTGCTACGTACCCAGAGCAATCACAATGTCTGCGATGCTTAACACAGGCAGTATGCTCTCATAACGGCACATTTTCACTGTCAGCAATGAGGCCTGACACCACAGCAGCTTATGGCAGTTTGCTGGGGGAACATGGAGGTTTCTTTTTGACGACGGGGTTGTTTGTTTTTCCTAATTCCTTTCCAGAAATGACACTCCTTGAAAATGCATGTGTAAAAATAAATGAAGAAAAGAAAACAGGAAACAACCAGCACAAAACCTCCTCACAGTAAATACCGTAACATTTCTTGTGTAAATGATTAGGGTCTCGCACCATCTGAAGTGAGGAGAAAAAGGGGCAATATATTTGACTCATTACATCCATTACAAGAGTTAGAGATACAAAAAAGAAAAAAAAAAAAAGGTTATAGTTACCTCTGTTGAGTGAAGCTGAACTGTTTATATCTCCAGTAATAAAGGAAGACTCGGACTGCTTTCGAACTGTGTCATTCCACATCCTACGAATCCGGCTCTGAAGAGGGATTGAACCACAGCAGGTAATGAATTTTTAGCAGCCGCAGATAGGTTTCTTTCTGCCTCACTAGAGATGGGCTATTGGGGTGCCTAGCTCAGGATGAGACTTGTTTCTATCCAGCTGTAAGCAAGCGGTTGCTGTTTGGTTATAACCATCTTGTGCATACCAAACACTGCCTGCCTAACTTCATAACACAAACGCCTCTCTCAAATAAGAAGTGCATAATAGGATTGCTCACTTTGCTTACCTCTTAATTAAAAAAAAGCAATAGAAATCACTTGTGAGAGGAACCCAAACCCATGCAAGCTCAAGATTTACCAATATTGCACCAAATAACTGAAAAATAACTTACACACAGAAGCATGCACATTTCCCATATTACCTAGGATAGTCTGTGTCAATTTTCTGCAAAGCATTGAACAGTTGCTTTGTTTCTTGGTGTCCCTGAATGCGTGAAAGTTTTTGTAGCTACTATCCATATTGGGGAATGTAGGCAAAAAAACAAAAAACAAAAACAAAAAAAACCCACAGCAAATGAGTAATTTCTATTTTTCCCTACTGAAAAATCCGTAATGATTTTGCTATCAGTGTTATAGCTTCTGCTGGTGGGGAAACAATGTCCCAAACATGTTGGTCTTCTGTTTTGCTTCTCAGACATGAAGTAGAGCATTTACTTTTGTGGCTTTTACACCACTGCCTTGCTCTTTCCCCACTAGACCTTTCAAAAAAATCAAAAGGTCAGCTGTGCACATCTTGTGAACATCCTGCTGCAGACCCACGCCTCATCTCACACAGTATGTTGAATGTATTCCACAGCTACATGAAAGGACTGCTAGGCCATCTTGGAGATCCAGAATGCTGTTTGCCACTGTGGCAGACTATGTTTCTCCTAGTCAGTGAAAAGCCAGTGCTCCCCATAGCGGGGTCTTAGCCATGTGAGATCTTCCAGGGCTCACTTGGTCACAGCTTCTTCTCCAGTGATTAACCACGTACTAATGGCATCTCCTAAGCATGCATTAGTCCTCTAGAAATTGAACCAGAACGTAACATGCAGCCCATGGACTTTTATAGCGGTTCTTTTTCACCTGGGCATTTAATCTATTGCATTCCTCTGACACGATCCATATGGATTAACTATTCTGTACCCTAAGTGCTTTTCAGAGGAAAAAACAAAAGTGATCTAATGAGTTGTGCTCCTCTTGGACTTTTCATAAATCAGGAGCCAGATATATTCTACAGCGCAGATCTCCATCTACTCTCTTTCTCCCACAAGAGGTTTCTCCTGCCTCTGATAGGGCTCAAACACTTCCACTCTTTCCAAGAACAAGCTTGTAACAGAAAATAACCAACCACAGTACCTCAAGCACTCCCTGTGACAAGGGGACTGCCCTCAGGAGTCAGTGCAGTGCTGAGGCTGCCAAGGAGGAGGCCCACATAAATGTTACTGGATACAGTATCTTTGTATGCTATTGATTACTGTGGGATTTGATGGCCTACTGGGGAGAAGCTCCATATTCTATTGCTGTTATTTAACCTGTATTACATCCACACCTAAGTAAATGCCAAAGTGGAGTTCTTGGATGACATTTTGGAAGCCATTCAAAATAAATAACAATTTGCTCCAAGACATAAATCACAAACTGTGTTTTCCTGGGAGGTTGTAAACTGGTATTCGCTGCATGTGTTTCATAGTTTAATAGCTGAACTGTCACATATAATTACTTCCATTAGTAATACTGAATAAATTTGTATTTGGTTTCTATTGATTAAGAAGTAAGCTTCTTCATTCTCCATCCTTCCATAAATCTGTTCCTGTACATACAAGTTAGCTTGAAAATGACTAAAAGTACAAGCTACACAACATATGAAACTTAGGTGACCAAAACATAAAAAATCCTGTGACTAAATGAGATAATATGGCCCCAGTGGGTTACTTTAAGAGATAAGCTGAGGAAAATCAAGTGAGATAATGGAACTGATCAAACCACTGAATGTCAGAAACTAGGCCTTTTCACTATGAAGGCTATTGCAGCACTCTTGTAGTCTTTCTTTCTCTCTTTCTTTCTTTCTCTCTTTCTCTCTTTCTTTCTTTCTTTCTTTCT